AGCCTCTCGCGGTCGTCCTCCCGGGGGTTGGACATCTGGCGCAGCAGCTCCCTGCGGGTTTGGGGGGCCGTCTGCTCCACGCTGTCCAGCTTAAACCGCCGCCAGTCGTTGATCACCCCCTTAGGACCTGGACCCCATAGAGTCACAAAAGATTTACTGTAAACTCAACCTCTGATGAAACTCCGCCCACATCCAAGTCGGCCATTTTGACTAAGTGGTTTTTGGGCTGTTTAGGGCTGTTTTCTACAGTTTTTCTGTCTCTTTCTATATTTTTTCTACAGTTCTTCTGACTCTTTCTGCTGTTTTTCTACCTTTTTTACTGTTTTTCTGCTGTTTTTCTACCTTTTCTACTGTTTTTCTGCTATTTTTCTACCTTTTTTTGTCTCTTTCTGTTATTTTTCCACAGTTTTTCTGGCTCTTTCGGACGTTTTTCTGGCTTTTCTACTGTTTTTCTGCGGTTTTTCTTCCTTTTTCTGCCATTTTCCTGCTGTTATTCTGCTGGTTTCTGCCTATTTCTATCTCTTTCTGATGTATTTCTGCTCTTTTTCAGCATTTTCTGCTGTTTTCTACCCTTTTCTGCCTTTTTCTGCCTTTTCTGTATTATTGTATTGTGTAGTCTGTGTTATTTTGGATTATTTGAGGATCTTAGTATTGAATGCCCAATAAAAAGGGACATTTTCACACTATAGGACAAGTTTATATAACACAATTTCAGACGATAAATATAATTAAGGGGTCCCCCTCCATCTGTTTGGGGGTCCTTGGCCTGGGAAACCTTGAAGACCCCTGGTTTAAGCTATTCTTATATTCTATTCTCATGTTTCAGAGAACATACTGGAGGCATAACAGTTCATTTATGGGTTTCAGACACTGGAAGTGGGCAGTTCCTGCAGGAATAAGCCTGCAGCTACAGGATGAATCGGTTTTTCTGTCTGGATGGGATCCTCGTGTGTCTGGACCTGTGTGGTTGGCGGGCAGATCCTCCTCCTCCTGAGGGGCAGCAGACATCCTGCAGACAAATAGACAGAAGAAGCTGAAACTAAAGTCCTTAAAGAGCCTTTTGACTGGAGATAGCCTTATAAACCCCCTAACAGAGCCCTCCTGGTCCAGCT